TGGTGTTGGGTCCTCGTTTTGAAGAGACGGTCCCCGCGTCCTCCTCTCGTCTCCTCTCCTCCTCTCCTCCTCTCCTCTCCTCCTCCTCTCCCCTCCTCCTCCCCCTCTTCCCTGCGTTTCACCCACCCAATACAGCGCTTCGTAGCCCCATAGGAGCTCCGCCGAAGGCCCCAGTGCTGCCGCCCGCATGCGTCACCCACACCCAATTCGGCACACCCCTCACACGTTTCGTGGCCCCATAGGAGCTCCGCCGAAGGCCCCAGTGCTGCCGCCCGCATGCGTCACCCACACCCAATTCGGCACACCCCTCACACGTTTCGTGGCCCATAGGAGCTCCGCCGAAGGCCCCAGTGCTGCCGCCCGCATGCGTCACCCACACTCAATTCGGAACACCCCTCACACGTTTTCGTGGCCCCCATAGGAGCCCGCCGAAGGCCCCAGTGCTGCCGCCCCGCATGCGTCACCCACACCAACTTCGGCACCCGTCACACGTTTCGGCCCCCGACGTAGGGAAGCTCGCGCCGAAGGCCCAGTGCTGCCGCCGCAGGCGCCACGCACGCACATTCGCCGCACGCACATTCGGCACACCCTCACACGTTTCGTGGCCCCATAGGAGCTCCGCCGAAGGCATCAGTTGCTGCCGCCAGCAGCGTAACCCACACCAATTTCGGCACACCCCTTCGCACGTTTCGTGCCCCGTCAGGAGCTCCGCGAAGGCCCCAGTCAGTGCTGCCGCCCGCATGCGTCACCCACACTCAATTCGGCACACCCCTCACACGTTTCGTGGCCCCGTAGGGAGCTCCGCCGAAGGCCCCAGTGCTGCCGCCCGCATGCGTCACCCACGCCCAATTCGGCACACCCCTCACACGCTTCGTGGCCCCATAGGGAGCTCCGCCGAAGGCCCCATTGCTGCCGCCTGCATGCGTCACCGACACCCAATTCGGCACACCCCACACACGTTTCGTGGCCCCATAAGAGCTCCGCCGAAGGCCCCAGTGCTGCCGCCCGCATGCGTCACGCACGCCCAATTCGGCACACCCCTCACACGTTTCGTGGCCCCATAGGGAGCTCAGCCGAAGGCCCCAGTGCTGCCGCCCGCACGCGTCACGCACACCCAATTCGGCACACCCCTCACACGTTTTGTTGCCCCATTAGGAGCCCCGCCGAAGGCCCAAGTGCTGCCGCCCGCATGCGTCACGCACACACAATTCGGCGCACCCCTCACACGTTTCGTGGCCCCATAGGAGCTCCGCCAAAGGCCCCAGTGCTGCCGCCCGCATGCGCCACGCACGCACAATTCGGCACACCCCTCACACGTTTCGTGGCCCCATAGGGAGCTCCGCCGAAGGCCCCAGTGCTGCCGCCCGCATGCGTCACCCACACCCATTTCGGCACACCCCTTACACGTTTCTTGCCCACATAATGAACTCTACCGAAGGCTCCAGTGCTGCCGCCCGCATGCGTCACGCACACCCAATTGGGGACACCCCTCACACGTTTCGTGGCCACATAAGGAGCTCCGCCAAAGGCCCCAGTGCTGCCGCCCGCATGCGTCACCCACACCCAATTCGGCACACCCTCACACGTTTCGTGCCCCCGTAGGGAGCTCCGCCGAAGGCACCAGTGCTGCCGCCCGCATGCGTCACCCACACCCAATTCGGCACACCCCACACACGTTTCGTGGCCCCATAGGGAGCTCCACCGAAAGCCCCAGAGTGCATGCCGCCCGCATTCGTCCCGCACACCCATTTCGGGTACACCCTCACACGTTTCGTGGCCCCATAGGGAATGCGTCCCGCACACCCATTTCGGCATACCCTTCACACGTTTCGTGGCCCCATAGGGAGCTCCACCGAAGGCCCCAGTGGGTGTGCCCGCATGCGTCCCGCACATCCATTTCGGCACACCCCTCACGCGTTTCGTGACCCCTCGCACGTTTTGTGGTCCCATAGGGAGCTCCACCGAAGGCCCCAATGGGTGTGCCCGCATGCGTCCCGCACACCCATGTTGGCACAACCCTCGCACGTTTCGTGGCCCCGTAGAGGGGCTCCACCGAAGGTCCCAGTGCTGCCGCCCGCATGCGTCCCGCACACCCATTTCGGCATACCCTTCACACGTTTCGTGGGCCCAAA